TCAATCCATCCATCAATCCATCCATCAATCCATCAATCAATCCATCCATCAATCAATCCATCCATCAATCAATCCATCCATCAATCAATCAATCAACAGCCTGGCCCACGAATTCTACACTTCCTCTCCAACCCGCCGACCGCTCTCCGCTTCGCCGACGTGAACGCCGCCCTCAGCCCTCGCGCGACCCGTGCTCCGACCCGGCAGTTGGACACGTCGCCCCACATGCCGCAGCGCTGGGCCTCGCGACGCGGTGGACCGGCGGGTGGATTCGGGTGGCTGGACCTGTCCTCTCGGGGGCCGAAGGGCAGTCTGAAACTGATAGGAGTCAACGTCAGCTGAGCTGGCTGACCTGTGACCTTGACTTAATTACCAGGATGTTGCGAGGTACCTTCGACTCCTTAGAGTTCCGCGCTACGCGGGGCGGATTCCGCGGTCCGCTCTGGTCGTTGAAAGGTTGGTGAGGCGCCTCACGGTCATTTAGACCCCTCTTCAACAATCCCAAACGCTCCATGGTGGCGCAAATATGCCCTATACTCACCACCCAAAACCACCTGATGCAGGTATATCTATGCATGGAGCGTCTGGGAGACATTCAGTCAATGGTTGACACTCTGCGCTCACCGGCTCAAGTGCTATAGTCACTGGAGTCTCATGTCTTCACAAGCACCTCATGTCAGCGACCTCACTAGCCACGTGCTGTTGCAGCTCTTGTCGACGTCCTTCCTGACCCTTTCGCCTCCGCCCATACCGTCGTTGGATTGCCGTTGCGCTCGTCCTCCAACGATCTTCACCCTCCTCAGACGTGGCGCATGTCTTGCGCAGCTGCATGTGGCCCTGCAGCGGCACACGCCAGCGGTTTCCGCCGATGATTCCTTTGTCGACCGTGCACTGGCCACGACCGCGACCCTCGCGCGCCCAGAAAAACCGACGCGCGGAGCGATGCCCGTCGCGGCGACCGTGGCGGCGCAAACGGAAGGGCACGGCCAGCAGTCTGCAGTCGACGTCCAGCAGTCCGCAGCTTGCGATCGACAGGTTTGGATTGCTTCCGCTCGAAGCGAAGCCGCTCTGACCTCTTCTTGTGAGCAAGTCTCGACCCTCAAGCAGCAAGCGAGGTCAGTGGGCTAGGTCATCTGCTAGACATTGAAATCCACTGGTCGGAAAATGCCATCCTCGACTGCAAGCGCAGTGCGAGAGTATGGACCCTGAGCCTGCATCAGGAGGTGGGTGGAAGCTCGGGGTCCATATACTCTCCTTTGCACTGCGCTTGTGACGTTCTTGTTGGTGGTCAACGGAGGCCATGCGGCGACTTCCGCCACCGCAGCGGCGGAGCAGTCCGGTCGGAGAACGGGAAGGCTCCTCCCTGGCTGGATCTGCCACGGCCGCAAGCCTAGATAGAAGATGATAGAAGTGAATGCATCCATTCCATGACTCTCATCTTGGAGTAGATAGAACATGATAGAACCAGTTCCTCCAAGCAGACTCGTCCAGCTTTTCTGACCCGAACTCGGCCCTGTTGGCCCAAACCCTGAAGCCTCCGCTGGTCCGTCGAAACCACCGAGCCGTGCTTTTGCCACTCACTCCGCCCCTACCCGAAGGAGGGGCCGAAGAACCCGGGCGCCTCGGCCAGGGATTCCTTCATGTAGCGCTCCCGCCCGGCCTCCAACATCCTGAGAGGCGTTGGACACGCCGAACGTCGAGGACAACGGTGCCTATATATATAGCGGCCATTGGTGTTGGAAGCTGTGCCAGGCCAGCCAGCCAGTTGAAGGGGGCAGATCCTCCTGGATGGTGCTGGTGCTAGTTGAGTTCAATGGTTTGTCTCAGTCATCTCAGTGTATCTCACCTACATGTTCGCAAAGAGCTATCATAACCAATATGCTGCATGAACTCAATCACTGGTCTAGATACGAGCGCAGAGACTTTCTGCGACCAGGGATCAGGGACATCGAGGGACCCTATATGACCCTATGGCAACCATTTGGCGAGCGTCCCATACCCAACCCCAAAAATCACCCCCGCTGGACATAGGTCCATAATGGGTGTGCTGTTTTTGACTGGGGAGACCCCACCTAGTCACCTAAAACTTTTAGACACCCCCAGTCACGTGGACGAGGGGGGGGCGCCCCCTCAGTCGGGTCGCTGGTCCAAGGGGCTTGGCCAAGGCAGCTCGACTGAAGATCTGGCCACCTCCTGGGACGCTTTTGCCAGCGGAGGTGCCAAAACGGCCTCTTGGGAGGTTTCGCCTGTTGAGGGAGCCATTTTTGCGGAGATGTTCATGGGTTTTGACCTCCAGGTCCAAAGGAATCCAAGGGTCTCAAGAGCGCTGCTTGTATCCGAGAGTGTTGTAAAAAGGAACCACGTGAAGTTGGTCAACCTTTAAAATGCTCAGCATGATTCAAACATATTCCAAAACTATTGAGTTTGGACTCAGACTGGACCAATTATTGGCAGTCCTGTCTATAAGTTCCAATGAACATGGTGTGCGTTTCATCCAGTGCACCACCAGTACACCACCTGTTCCCTTCGTTTCCTTCCACCAATGGTCCGGACTCCAACCACTCCACACACACCACGTTGGGTCCAACGGACGTGTTTACCGGGCCGAGTCGGGGGTCGAACGGTCCTCCAGCCGTGGGGGTCGAGTCTGTTCCGGTCGAGGCGTCGACGTCTGTTCCGGGCCTCCACAGAGTCCTCCAGCTTTGCATTTCCCACAGCCACGGATGCCCAGCACCTGTGGCGTCTCTGGATCCAACTGGCCGAGCACCGCCTGACGCGTCACGCGAGATGAAGAGACGAGATTAGGACAACAAGAAGAACAATGCGGCGAGCGGCTAGGCGGCGAGGTGTGTTTTCCAAGTCACTGGTGTCAGATTTGTTTGGACTCTGAAGGTCCATTGGAGGGTAGGTTTGGAAGAAAAGTCCACACTCATTTACTGAAGTGGGTATAATAACGTTTCTGTTGGCAGAAGTTTGGTTTTGCATGACCCACATGTTCCCATTACATCAGGTCTTGATGAACAGTTCACCCTCAGTTGCTTAGTGTTGCATGTTGTGTTGAGAGTGGTGCTATGATGATGGTGATTTGGGTAACTCAAGCTTCTTTTCATGCTCATAGTGCTGATATGTGCTGACATGTGCTGATGGGTGAGGGATCAAAAAACAGCGTCAAGAAAATTTTCAAGAGGAATCAAAAAGGAAAAAGACAAGGAACACACAAAATATTCGCAGCGAAGAAGAAGATCACGGGGAAAGGACAGTAGTAGTAGTAGTAGTAGTAGTAGTAGTAGTAGT